GAATGGAGATGCCATTATGTTTCCAAATATTGGGCCTAGGATGATTAAAGGGCTGAGCCCAGATGATATTCAAGGAATCCAAGCTTTGTATAATTTAAAGGGGCTCATGTTATATAGCTTAAATCATACATTAAAAAGTATAGTCTGTTTCATAAATTTATTAAAATATTAATAAAATAATTTTATTAAAAGTATATTAATAAATTCATTAAGTCAACAGTATTTTTAATATATTGTCTATCATGCAAAACACTTTTTTTTTTTTTTGTCGTTTAAAAGAGAAACATGAAAATCAAGACGTTATGACAAAAGTTATTAAAATCGAGAGTTTAACTAAAATTGTTTTGGTTGGGTAAAATCAGAATAATAAAATTGAATTAGTAAAATCAAGATATTACTAAATTTAATATATAATATATAATAAATTATATAAAATTAAAATTAAACAACAATAAATTAAACTTAGAGTTAGAAACTTGAAATTAACTAATTAAAATCTAAATATTCAATAACATAAATAAATAATATAAGCCATTAGTTAAACATTTAAACTAACTACAATAAAATTAATTTTCTTTTGGTGCAAATTGTACATAAGGAAGACCAAACCATTCATTTTCTTTTCACGCAAGCAGTTTCTCTTTTTAGTATGCACCTAGAAAGGAGAATGAAATAAAAATCCTAATTGAACATGGATTTGAAACGAACCAAAAAAGGTGGATCCTTCAATCAAAATCAAGAACCCCAGAAGGAAAATTAGAAAACCAGAAAAGGGCCAGGCTTCAAAACCCAAAAAAAAAGAGAGAAAAAACAAGAATGCAGGTAAATTAATCAGAAGAGAAAACCAAAGCAAGGAAAAAATTCTGAAATATGTAATGGTAAAGAACAAGGCTAACCCGAAACTATTGCGTTTCAATGCTCTATATTTGGTAATGCCAAAAACGAAGCAATGTGACAACAGAAACAACTAAACCTAACCAAAGTTGCTCGCTTTTCTATGACAAAAATAGCTTATTTGGAACATGTAATGTCAGGGATAGTTATGTTGGTCAAGGGAAAGGAAAAAACATAGAGGGTTAGGGAGGCAATTGTGGATCTAGGAATGAATCCTGAGAATGCCAAGAGCCTATGGATATTTGGGTTAGGAGGGAGCGTGTCTTTGAAGAACCACTACAAGAAAAATGATTTTTAACAACGTTGATGGCAACAAAACGAAATGTCTATCTATCTCCCTTTTGGCCAAAGAAGAAAACAAAGAAACAAAGAAATAGCTCTGGTGATCGAACGGAGGATGAAGAGGAGAGGAAAGAAGGTGGAGCAGAAGGGGGGCAGAGATGGAGATTTGCGCAAATGGCTTTTGGGTCGAGAAGGTGAAGAATGGAGGAGGTGACATGTGGCCAGATATGACCCAACGGCCCAACTGAGGGTAAAATTGAGATTTTAACCGATTTTGCAGTAAAATTGTGGTTTTTTTTATTTTACCTCAATTTTATGAAATTTCAATTTTAATATAGATTTTACTCGAAATGTATATCTAAAATTGTAAAATCGTACAATTTTATGATTGAAATCACGATTTTGACAATATTACTCATGACGCCCTAAATACCAAATTTTTTTATAAAATTATTCAAATACTTTTAATAAATCAAAAGAAATCCCTTTTGCATCTTGATTTATTAAAAATAGGAAAATGATTGGTACACCTTTTGATTCAACATAGTTTACAACAAACTCATTAAGAGACTATTATTTTCAAATTTGAATTCATGGTGAGAAAATTTTCAAAAACAAATTTTGAAGGTTGAACTGGAGTGTGTTACACAGTATGTTAAATTGGATGATGTACCAATCACTACAAGAAAATGGGTTTTCTGTGACTGAAAATAGTGACTGATTATCAATTGGTCACTAGTATTTTTTATATTTGTGACTAATTTAAGATAATAATCACTAATATTAATTTTTAATATTATAATATATAATTTGGACACAAAAATAATATTTAGTCACTAAAAATTTATCACAATAAACTACTTAAATTTATGACAGACAAAATCATCACAAATAAATTAACTATTAGTTCCTTGAAAAATATTAGTTACAAAAGATAAATTTATGTCACAAATTATCTTTTTTTCTTGTGACTAAAATTATGATTTGTAACAAATATATTTTGTGACTATATGCGGTTTGTTACTAAAAAAATTCACAAGATGTAACAAAATTTTCAAATAAAATCATATGCAAGCAGGCATGCAAGGCTTACATATGGTAATTAATTCAAATCTAAATTTAAATCTATATGCAACCTGCGAGGCTTACATATTGGTAATTAATCCAAATCTAAATTTAAATCCATGTGCAAGCAGGCATGCGACGCTTAAATATTGGTTATTAATCCAAATCTAAATTTTCAGGCTAAATCGATATGCAAGCAAGCATGCGAGGCTTACATATAAGCTATTAATTCGAATCTAAATTTAAATCTATATGCAAGCAGGCATGCAAGGCTTAAATATTGGTAATTAATCCAAATCTAAATTTAAATCTATATGCAAGCAGGCATGCGAGGCTCTTTAAGGACGTAGTAATTTTCTTGAAGAATGATCAAAATTAATATCATACCTCATGCTAGCTAGTAGCTAGTGTGGTGGCCGGTGGGACAATAAATACTTCTTACACACATATGGTAGTATAGTTACTTGGAAAAAAGAATTGGGGGGATGCATGGATGGAGGGGAACTTATTTGAAAACAAAATACTGATACTCCAGACGTATTAGAAAGCGACCAATATGGTTGAAGCAAGTGGCGGAAACAAAGAGAGATGGAAGGTAGGGTATTTTTCTTTTCAATTAATTATAATTCTACACTTCTTCTTTTTTTTGGTCTGTACAATGAGATATTGGGTAGAATATTGGGTTTTTTTTAGGCAAAACCATAAGTTAAGCCCCTGAACCAACCCCAGAATCGCTATTAAGCCCCTAGACTCTAATTGATGCATTTAAGCCCCTGAACTCTACAATCCGAGCAATTTTGCCCCTCCTCTTACAGTCAACTTAACTGCTGCTAACTGCCGTTCGAGGACTGCATCGTGTGGCGAAATGTGGCTGTCTCA